TTGGAGTCACTTATTTCAAATTATTCAGTCGGTATTCTGTCTTTATCATATGTAATACCACGAGGACGTTGGAAATTGTCAATAAATTCACGACTCGCGAAGCAAGGAGAGGATTTATCTGAGAATTTCCAAAGCTCGAGTAGAATTTAATAGAACTATTCCACGAGTGAAATTATGTCCACCGGAGTTCCAAAATGCGCCAAATATTGAAAATAGCTACAAGCTCTGTTAAAATCACAAGCGACACACCGATCGATGTAGTATACCCCCACCTCAGACAGATGAGTCACAGTTTATGATTGGGCAGTAGGGAGAAGCGGTAAGAAAAATCGGATAGAAAAAGCAATAAAAGCTTTGAGATACACCGCCCTGATTGAGTGGTTTTGTATGTTCAGTTAAACACTGTTTGTTTTAACTTCACGAGTGGAATAGTTACTTTAAATAGCTTTCAATTTTAGTGTCATACCAATACAGAAATACTTTCTCGAACTCGGTATTTGTTAAACAAACACGTTTAGACATGCTTTGCTCGAATTTCCTGGCAAAGGACGTTGTGTCAAAAGTCACACAAATACCATAGTGCAGTCACCATGAATGCGACGAACTTCATTCAGCTAAATCAAAATTACAAGTACGACGTCAAAGCAATAAGGTGTCCTACAAAAATTCCTTTACACTTCGACTTTCAAAAAGTAGATTTCGAATTTGCAGCTCGGCACCAGGCCTCGGTACCAGTAGAGCCTGTGTGTTTCGAATAAGAGAGGTGGCATGTGTGTTCATCCTACACTTTTGTCCTTTCGTAAGTAGTTTCAGTGATTTGAAACTTATCAGTCATTTCCAGAGTAGCAAAAGAGCGTAGAATGAATTCATCTGAGAAGTTTCAAACCATGAGTGCAATTCGGTTAGACGATACTAACGAAATTCATAAATCCATAAAATAGTAGGAATAAAATGTTAAAAAGAGCGAAAAATATTTCTTGGGGGTTGTTCCAGACGCTTTAATGATAACTGCAGTTTACTAGATGAAATATTTATTTTTCAAAATAGTTGAATGTCATCTGCGGTTAAAAGATAGTGAAAACCACACAAATGAACTTTTAGATTTAAGGCGCCCGTAAATAGTGTATTACTATAAAAGTCTATTGACCAAATTGAAATTAATAACCCATGAATGGAATACAAATTCATCTCTTGAACGAATGAAAACTGTACCATGTAGTTTACGACTTATTTGTAAGCATCGTGATTGTAATCCGTGTCTAAGTTAACTTTTATGTTGATAGCAGAAGATATAATTGAGGCGATGGCTAAAACAAGGTCGCACACGTTAAAGCGGTGTTCTGAGAAGAAAGCAAAGATTTTGATCATTTAGTATCCTCCAACACGATGTATTTATTTGCTTAATTGACGCATTAATGCTAACCTGCGATTCTGGATGTCAGTTATATTATCTTGTTTATGTAATTAGCTTCCACCGGCTTTTACCCAATTGCAAATTTATGTTTATCTTATCTTCAGACAATTTAGTGAAATAAAGGAAGAGAAACGTTTTATGAGGTACTAGCGACTTGTGTTAATGCTTGAATGGGACGAAAGTGAACAACTCTGCGACGTAGTTCTCAGTGTTGACGCGTTTGTCGATGGCGGCGCAGCTGCATGGAGCGATGCGGAGCGCTCTAGCGACTTCTGGAGGAACTTGGACGATCGAGCACATTCATATAGAGTTTTGAATTTGAAGCATATCTGCACACAATTATTACCTCCTAATCCTTTTACAATGTTTCACTGAAACATTGAAATCAAGAATTTCAAACATTACTACAAAAAATTGTTATAAACTTTACCCCTATTTTTTTTACAATGCTACATGTTTTTAAGCGAATGATAGCAGAAGATACAATTGAGACGACAGCCAAACAAAAACCTTTCTAATTTTGTCATTGTTATTTAAAATAACACTTTTAGTATCTAGCCGTTGAATAACATATTATCAATTGTAACAGCATGTATGTTATAATGAAATAGATAAAATACTCGTATGTTACTAGAGTATTAACTTCTGTTTAACAAACCTTGACGTTTAAGAAATGAATCTTCAAGTTTTAATTCACTGTGATATCAATAATTTTATCAATCATTGTAACTTATTCTTTCCACTGATTACACCATCCATACTTTTTTATTACACATGGACTTGAAGTTTCACTTTGGGCTTGTTATTTGCAATACACTCTTTTTTAAAAGTATTTTTCATTAAGAACGTAAGGGGACGTCCATACATTACGCAACGCAAACATTTTGAGTATTTTGAATATCCTCTCTCCCCCTGTAACGCAACCGTAACGCGCGATTGAAACCTCCGAAATAATCACATAACGTTTGTGAGACCAAACCCCCTCGTTGTGCATGCAGGGAAAAAAATTATAACTCAGTAAAAAATTGTATTCGTTTTATTTGTGTTGTGTTCTAAAATTTAATAATTCGATTCAAATATCGATAATAAGTTCGATAATTAAAGTCAAAATTAGTTGTCGATGCTTTCTGCGCCTAACAATAAGACTGTGGGCAAATTTTGAGTGAAGGAAAGACGCGAAAATTTCTGATTACAAGCCGTTGGGCGAGAGTCTACTGCGTCAATTGAATTGTATTCTACAAAATACTACAGATCAATTTTGAATATTTTCTTCGTAATCTTACAGATTCGATACAAAATTGATGAAAAAATATTTCAATTCATTGTAACAACTTATAATAACTTTTAATTATTTATGTTTTAAAACAAACCAATTAGATAATACGTAGAACATCTGGAAAGTAGTACCCGTTTGCACCGTGTGGAGTGCTGGTGTGTAGAGTAGCCGCCGTTCAAGTTCTAACACGCTCAGTTATATTTCAGCTGTCTGTGTGCAAAGTTACAATTAAGCCTCGCTGGCACTGAGTATGTGCTTTCTGTGAGGGTTTATAATGTTCAAGAAAATTGAGAACGCCGCCAGTTGTGAAAATAGGGCTATGATTAGATTTCGCAACGCAATAAATGTGAAACCTTGCGATATTCATCGTCAACTAAAGGAGGTGTATGTAGACAATGTCATGGATGAGTCATCTGTTAACAGAACAGCTTGTGCAACAATTCAAATGGGAAACTTTCAACCATCCATCCCCAGACTTGGCACCCTCGGATTTTCATCTGTTTACAAAACTAAAAGACTTTTTGGTAGGAAAGAAATTTGAAAGTGATGAAGTACTTAAAGTAGCTGTGAGTACATATCTCAATACACTGGCAGCAGAGGAGAACGAATCTGGGATACAAAACCTCGTCACACGTTATGACAAATGCTTAAATTTGCGAGGTGACTATGTGGAGGAGTAATTTAAAGTATGTTCTTTACAAATAAAACAATAATATTTTTTAAAATGTCCTTTTTTTAAATTCCAAAAGAGGTACGTCTTTCCGGATTCCCCTCGTATTTTAATGTTTTAGTATAAGACTCAAAAAAGAAATTAATTCAACAAATGTAAAAAAATCAGTTACGTAAAACTATTTGAATACCCCCTGCCTCAATATAATCCAGCTTAACGCTGCTTCAAACCCCCTGCCCCCTCTTTAGCGTTATGTAATTCATGGAAGAGCCCTAATTAAATACTTACTAATTTAAAACATGTTCAAATTGTGTTATAGGCCAGTTTTCTGGACAATACTTCATTCATATAATTGAATTAGTCCGAATAAAAAATCAGTTTTATTTCATTTTTTTAATCAATTATTTCCACAACTTGTAAAGTGATACGTAAACACTTCTTAAAGTTAAGTAAATCGGATCTGTCAGGTTATACCTAACTTTCATTTCTTTCTGTTCATATCTCTTCAAAGACGTACTTCAAGACTTATCTACTCTTCCAGTTACTGACTGATCTGCAGACGTCTGATAGCTACATACTAATCTACATTTAATTAAATAATATTGTACCATTCCATAAATTCAGTAACAGACAAAAGATATCCATTAAAAGAAGCTTACTAAATATTTCATAGAATGATCTTCGTTACTTTGAATTACTTAGCTAATCTAACGAATGAAATGAAAGAATGATAATGTTTAGAGAAATGGATTAAAGTATTCAGAATTTATTACTTTATTCATTTCCAAAATAAAGTCTTCCAAGTTTTATAGGCCCTCTTCTAGCTACCATTACAATTATGCTCAAGAAAATAGAGATTAAAAAAATACAGCTAACAACATAGAAATATGTGACATCAGATGAAATGATCGATATTTTAGCTGAATTAATAGACGTGGAATCTCGCATACGTAATAATACTATAACACTCTGCCCCCCAAGCAACTACAACACTCTGCCCCCCCATTCATCCGCAATGGACAGCCACGTGAGAGACCGCTACGCAGTTCATGCTAAAAGCATTGAGCATTCGCTTAAGAGGGAGCATGAAATAAATTCGTCATTAAAACTTGCGATGGTGGTAAGCATAAATTATACAAAACAAAATAGTGTAACTTTAATACGTTCTACATTTCCTATGTAGCGCCCTGGAGTACTTTTCATGCTGCCGCCTCCAAGACGTCTAATCCAGAATATGACATCCGATGCGCATAAGAGCTAGGGCCTGGTTCTTAACTACGAAATCAAAGTGTGCATAATACATCGTTCCTGACGGGATGCGCTTAAAGACCTTAGTAGCGTACGTTCTATTTTATTTATTTTTGTGGAGCTGTCACATAGAACGTTAAGTTTTAGTTTAATCACTTACATTTTGAATTTAATCTTCGAAATTAAGGACAAACACGTTGAGTTCTCACTAAAACTTTTACATAGGATTCCTCTCTCTCTTCTTTTCTCTCTCTTCTCTCTCTCTCTCTCTTCTCTCTAATATATTATATATATATATATATATACTAGATATATATATATTGTATTATATAATTATTAATACTTATATTCGTTTAGGATTAATATTACTCCCAAGACAGTTAACAAAGCATTGCTCTTTTTTCGTTAATAAGCCTTCACTGTTTGTACACCGATTCGACATGAATAAAAATGTTGATAAAGGAAATGATAAAGTCTTTCATCAATCAGATACATTTCCCCTTGCAGATTCTCGTTTACAATGATAACAAATGTAGTAATAATAACAATAATTAGGTTGTTAATGCTAAACATTGTTTTGTATTAGGGAGAAGAGTTGACAGTTGATTGCCGAGTCTTCTTTTGTTTTGAAGCGTGATTTCAGGAAAGAAGTGAATGTCGGTGATAGTGGCTAGTTAGATACGTAGCCAATCAGTCGTTGTTGACTTGTTGCAGAAGAGCCAGCATTGAGTACGAGGCACGAATTAACTGCAACACCAAATATAAATGTCTTAAAGGGAGACACCTATAGTAGTTTCATTGCCCCCCTTCTCCCCGAAAAAAGACAAGAAAGTAGTAGAAAGTAGTAGTGCGAATAGGTGTACGAAAGAAATACAGGAAGTTTACAGTAATCAGCAACATCATATCGGTGTATCATTACTCTGATGAAATGTTAAAAGGTAAAAGACGACAGCAAGTAGTTACAGGTTTTGAAAAGTTGAGGAGAGTGAGGGAAAATGTTTCTAACGCACCTATCTATGAAAGGTCATGCGAAAATATTATTCAGTAAATAAATTCGGAAGTTCCATTTCGGGATACATAAAATAAATGGCAATTCGGCTAAAAATATAACAAATAACTCACTTTTTGGTGAATAATATTTGGTGCTATTCTTAATTCTACATGTGATTCTTGGTGTTAGAGAATTGCACTGTTCTCACGTGCATAACAAGAAATTTCTTCAGCAATTTTGAATGTATGTAATAATATTTTTAACGCTATGAGCAGTATTATAAAGATAAGAAATCATTTAGGAAAAAAGAGAATGGCAAATCATGAGTAGAAGAAAGAACTATTCATGACCCAACAAAGATCTTTTGGCTGAATCCGTTCCAGTACATCCTCCCCCACACCCCTATTACATACCCACTACCAATTACGTGTCCACGGCATTACCAGAAGCAATAGCGGAGTACTCATATCAGATATAAAAGATCGAGGTATAAAATAAAGACCTAACAAAAAACAAATACAATCCTAGAGAAACCTCATAAAATTTGGAAAAGTTCTAACAGTCGCATATCAATGGCACTGGCAATGGCAATGGGGGGGTGAAGGTAGGAACTAACGCGAAGTCTTGGTGTACATTTCTTCGTCTTTGTTGAGGATAAGTGACTTTTTCATATTTTAGAACTTTCATTATTATTATTATTATACTTATTAACCGCGTTATTGTTGTTCCTTTCAACGGTTATCGCTTCTTTACGAAACAATACGAAACCGTCGCCTTGCATAAAGCGCTTTGCAAAAAGTTCGGC